ATACATGCCGAGTAACAGTTCAGACTTGTCAGATTTGTCTGTCTATTCGTGAGTTGATAAACAAGAGAAAAATGAGTTGCGATTGTAACAAAATTTAATGTGAATTAAATAATTAAATGAAAAAATTTGCAAAAATAAAAAGCTCGCAAAAGTTGATTACAACAAAACAAATTACAATCAGATGTAAACATCAATGTTAGCAAAACAAGTGTCAACTTACTAGTTAACGTGTAGTTATAATTTTAGTCGCCAGGGAGCGTGTGGACTTTTGAACTCGCCAATTGTGTCGACTTGATTTTTTCATTTTCGATCAGATTTATTTATATTGTTAATAAGTACCCAATGGGCGACGTATCGTAAGCACCAAGTTCTTCTGATTGGAATTAACGTGTTTTGGAAATATTTTATTTATAAATGTACAGAACTATAAAATGTTATTAAGTTATTATTAAAGTGAATTCAACTTTTAGAGTTATGATTTTACCAACCGTATGACGATTTTTGAAAACCCAAAAAAGTTGAGATGTCTTAATCGGTTCCAGACTTTTGCAGCTAGCAGCCTCTAGAAACTACAAGCCATCCAATAAGGAATTTGGAATTTTTCGATTTAAAAAACTACCAAACCCAAATTTTTGTGTTACTAGTAAAACTGGCTAAAAATCTATCCAGAAAAAACGAAATTTGTATTTACATTTTGACGCTCTGTGTTTCGGAATATTAACTTATATAACATATTAACGGATAAGAAAAATTTGCCTGAAACGCAGTATTTTGATCTAAACAATATGTCAGTGAATTTTTCGACATTAGATGAGGGCCACCCTGTATATATTTCTGAAATCGGGGAAAACGATCCAATCGACCTGTCTAAATATATATGAGGTGTCTCATTAAAAACATTTTATGTAAAATTTTGCCATTTCCGTGATTTATATTTTCATTTTAAATTCGCATTTAAAACAATTTGAGTAGAATTAAACAACTTTTGTGCTGGTCACTTTCACAATTTTTTTAAAATAAACAATCGGGGTTGTCAACTTATGAGTAAACACCCAGTAACAATCTAACTGATTTTGATGATACACTTTTGAAATTTTGAACATTTAATAAAATCTAATTCATAGAAGTTAAGCTTTTTTCGAAGTTGATAAATGGCGAATGGTGTGTGGCGCTCATTTTATAAAATTTTTAAAAATCTGAGTACGCTTTGCTGTATGTGATAATTGCAATTACGTGAAGTCGCTTTAGATACAAACACCATTTTGCACACAGTTAGAAAAACGACAAATTCTTCAGATATTTAAATGGCAATCGGTCATTCGAAAACCACTGAAACAAATTGAGGGTTGATAGGAGGCTTGATTATTATGTACGAGTCCCAAGTTTTGTTCCCAAGCTCAAGTTCACGATAAGGTACCAAATATTGGAAATACTTTATGAAACTTAACATTTTTTGACACCTTTGGTTGAATTTTTTTGCAAGTTCTATTCCAATGCGAGTTTCCATAGTTTTTTGCCAAAATTTGGCATAAGTAATCTTAGCCAAACACCAGCTTTGATTGATATGTTTTTGGAATCTTGTATATTTTACCGAATAGTACTTATATACTTCTTGAAGGTGTTTTTATAGGCTAAGAATGAGGAGAAAAATAATAATGTAACCACTAACGTTTGACGATGGATTCTCAGTGTTGGATGCGATAATGAGTGTATTCTAATAATAATTACATCGACCACTAGTTTTAAAAACTTACCGAAATAGATTTGTTAGAGGTCCAGGTAGACTCATCTTTCACTAGTTGGCGATTCGAGATAGTGTAAACCGTAAACTGTCGACTCAACTAGAAACAAATATAAAATTACTTCTCTCCCTCCAATATATAAATCCTGATTATCAGAACAATTGCGGCAAAGCAATCATATCTAAATGCTTTGCAAACAATGAAAACATTTTTATCTATCAGACAGTATACCGGGACTTAGTGAGAAGTACATCAGTCGTAAACGTCTACTACCGATTAATTAATATAAAAAATTTTGCATTAATGTGACGCTCGCACTTAAACGGTCTTTGAGGGTAACAACACTTAATGTTGAATATTTCTGCCATGTTCCGTGAGCCCCACTTTTCAACTGACCGTTAGAAATAATTTTTTAGAAAAAATAGAAAACTTAAGTCGTCCTGATTAGTCGTTAAATATATAAAATATACCTACTATACAGGGTGAATTTTTAAAAGCGTTACAAGGCTATATCTCAGAAACTTTTTAAAATACATTTATCAAATTTTGGAAAGTAACAGAATGGTGGGGGACATGTTTTACATATTTTTTATTATTCTTCTCAAGCACCCTCTTTGAGAGATAATGGCAACTTTGAAATTTTAAAAAATTTGTCATTTCGTATATGGTATGCTATTTTATTTAATGATGAAATTTTAAACATTCGCCATGTATAACTTGCTGTTAAGACTAACTTTAAAAATGATAGCTTTAATAGTAATACTCAACATTGTTCGCAGCCTTCATTTGTAGTAATATACAGGGTGATTTACAACCGATAGCTTACCAGACGTCTAAGGAGAACGCGCTGCACGATATTTCTGAAAATTTGTACAACAAAGTAATCGATATTTGCTACCGGCCGAAAATATTTTGAGCAATGAGCGGTTGCCGCCTATATAAAAAAGAACATATAACTTTGATATGTTAAATAAAACACCCTATATTTTATCGAACGTTTAAAGTGACTATAGATCTGATTCCAAAATCCAAAACTTTTATTAATTTTAATATTTTTCAAACAGCACATAGCCTGACGAGTTATTGTATTACATCGCGAGTTCGAAATTTACAACGCGAGTTACAACCCAGAAATTTAATATTTTGATTCTGAGTTAGCAAAGCCCCATCCTTGAGCACGGCGTACAACAATTCGTTCTAAAAACGATGTCTTAAATACTCTGACGTTTCAGTCTGAGATAAAGAAAACTTGCATTTGAGATAATTAAATTCCCTATTAAGCGATATTGCATGTATTTATGTATACTTGAAGCGTGAAATTTCCGGAATTTAGAGGAAAAAATCGACGATTTAGTGAAAAGTTTCGACGTATTTGTCAAAGGATCCATGAGATGTCTCAATAGGTACGGATTTTTCCATTTTTCAAACTAGTTGTTAGCTTGACAGCGAGCAAAGTTATTCGCGAGTTCAAAAGTGCAAACGCTCCCTGGTGGCTAAAATAATAAATACAAGTTAATTGGTAATTTGACACCTATTTTGTTGACATTGGTGTTTACATCTGATTATGATTTGCTTTGTTTTGTTCTAATCAACCTTTGCAAGCTTTTCATTTTTGTTTTTTTTTTCATTCAGTTCATTCACATTAATTTTTGTTACAATTGCAACTCTCAATTTTCGCTTGTATGCCAGCTCCAAGAGATAGACAAGTTTGACGGTCTCAACTATCACTGTGCAACGAGTAATTTGATGTTTCGCAACGGCCCCATCAGTAGTTGAACTTGCGAATAAAGACAGCCTTTTACGTGATTTTCAGACAGTTTAGATTTAATTATTAGTAAAATGGAGGGATACAATTATTCAAGCAAAAACCTAGACAAAAAACTATTTAGTCTTCATGGACAATGTGACGAATGCAATTATTCAAACAAAAACCCAGACACAAAACTATTTAGTCTTTATGGACAATGTGACGGAATGCAGAAAATTTAACGAAATCTGTGATAATTTAAACCAAACGAATACAAAGAAATTTTGACTAAAGCCGGCGCTACACGATGCGTCGAACATTGGCTCGAACGTTGGACCGAACGTTTCTATGGCAATGTATCTGCTACACGTCGAATGCTTGATGCAAGAAGAAGTTGCTTCATCAAATCAACGAATGTCTTCTTCGAATGTTGCAGAGATTTCTTTAACTCGGTCAAAAATACCGACCAAAGCCGGAACATGCTCCAACACGAACGGTGGACCCTCGACACTGGTAGATCGTAAATTCGAAAGTCGGCTACACGATGCGATGAACTGTCAAGCATCCAACGTTTGAGGGTGTTGGTAGCATCGTGTAGTATCGGCTTAATACAAAACAATTTTATTATTTACGATACAAAACTAGATTGAAGAAGAAATACCGCTAATAATCATTATCAAGAATCATCGTGTCTTTCTCATACCATTGACATCATGTTAAAGTCAGTTAGAGTAGAAGCACGCTAAAGTACACTTGTAATTATTAAATTAGTTTTTAAAAACGGTTTGTCATTCTTCAAACAGGTAATTCATGCAAGCAAAAGCGTAACTGATTATTGAAGAAAAAAACTAATAAATGGTGTAAAAATATTTACAATACATTTTTGAATTGGGAACGTGAACATTTTTTTCTTTCTTTAATATATTTGCCTACCTATAGAAATCGTGCATACCAAATATCAGCCCTCAAATCGCAATATTTAATTTGCAATAAACAATTAAAGTTGTGACTGCAGGCTATTCATTTGAAACGACACTAAACGCGCGGAAATGGCCGTGACGTCATAGCGCTAGTTCGTTCGATTGAAAGGCAATACGGAAATACGGCTTGTCGTTGAATTATCTGGGTGTTTGACTGTTCAGAATTCGTGCTGTGCTTTATTAATAATGGAACCACAATATTACCAATTCTGTATCGTGCGACTTTGTCCTAGTACAACTTTTAAAACGACAGATTAGCTCTTTATTCGTGTACCACGAGATAAAAGTCGGCGTTTAAAGTGGTTAAAGGTATACAGGACATCTTACCAGGATATTGCTGAGAATAATACTGCACATGTATGTGAAGATCATTTTAATGTAAGCATAAAAAAACATATTTGAGTTTGTATATTGTATTACAGATAGATATTTTGAATTTGCATTTTGTTTGCTTCTCGGATGCATTATAGTAATAGCAAATAATCATCTCAAAAATAGTTAATTGGTCTTCTAGACAATAAAAAGAAGCAATAATTATCCGCGAAGGAAAAATCTCGTTTTATCGTCGTGTATTTACGTTAAATACCTACTATTTTTGTCATGCGCTTTGCATATTAACACACATTTTTATGTAACTTTAATATTATTTATTTATTCAAGCTGGAAGAAGATATGGATAACTATGTTAAATCAAGGCTAATGTACTTGTAACTTGCACGCATCCTACTGCAGAATCCCCATAAGAAAACCTTCCCAATCTGTAAATAAACTTTTTTTTACATAGTCCATATTTTTGTACTTAACATTGTTATTCTTTGTAACTGTTATTATATTGTTTTTTTTCCTGGGCTCCAGTCAAAGTGCAAAGCAAAAATTTGTATATCGTTTATTTTCCTTCAAAAAAACCTTCAATTTCTTTGAATTTTCAAATTCAAATTTTACCGATTTATATAAGTAAAACTATTGACAATTTTGTCTGTAAATCTACCTGTTAGCTTTAACACCGCGAACCTCAGCAAGAGTACAACTTTCGGTGTTTTTAATGTAAGATGCCACCATAAACATATCCGCTATCCACTAGTGGTAAAATGTCGGATTGTCCTTTTACAAAACCTACGTCAGTCATTCTAAAAAAAAAAAAAATTCTAAGACGTTTCAACGATAATATCAAGACTGAGGTTGCATATTTACATGCTCCGCATTAACAGCCGCCGCGACCGACGAGCCGCTTGACGTCACAACTGGTCCCAGCCAATGACGGCACGTTGCAAGAATGATTTGAATTATACAGTTTTTAATTGTTTATATTAATTAAATAGAAATAAAAAATGAGTTTTTTTGGTGAACTGTGGTGTTTTTAATAGTATTAAGTTTCGTTTGAGAGTAATATTTTTCAAATTTAATTTTTCTGCAAGATTCCAATTGATGGCCATTGCATTCCAAGTACTTCATAATTTGTACATTTGCAGAGCGGTTTGTGACCCTCTCTCGACAACTAGTTCTCCAATGCAGAAAATAATTCTACAGCGCAATTTCCTTATGTTTTTGATCGGAATCTTATTTTCTCTTAAATTACCCCACAGGAAACAATCGGTGGTGTAAGGTTAGGAGATCTCTCAGGCCACTCTCATGGTCGCAAATTTCGAAACCAGCTGTTGAAAAAACAACATGTGTCGTACTCTTCTGATATTTCGATAGTTTCTTAAAAATTGACATCTTTGTCCTTAGAATTTGGAGGTTCTTAGTTAAATTTAACGATTTGTTATAAAGGTGAAACTTTATTTGATTATCCTTCAGAAAGCAAAAAATATCGATGCTAAATCTTTCTTAAAATGCCAGTTGATGAACCACGTGTGGATTACGATCCACCAAGAAGTGTTTGTTTTGCCTATAGAAAATGGTCTCCTTGACAAATTTGACTTTGTCTCTCGAAATTCACTTTTTTCTTAAATGTATGGTCTTGTTGTGTATGCAATAGAATTGTTTCAAAAAATCTGATTCTCCCGTGATAAGCTTTAGAGTTTGAACTCTTCTTACTTGATTTCTCTTCTTCTTCAACTTCTATGGATGCATTGCATGCAATGAGAGATCCTTTCAATGGTACTATATGCTAAACCCAAATCATCTGCGGCATTTCGGAAAGAAGCTTCAGGATATGTATGAAAGGATAAAACGCTTGCAATCTTGTATTCATCAAAAGTTACAGGGTTTGGTAACTTCGGTTTTTTTTTCAGTTTGGTGCCATAATTTAAAAAAATTGTTTTGCATTCGCACAAACTTCTGTGTGGATTGAAATAAGGAAATATTTCGTCGAATTTTCTGCACATCCATGAAATAATTTGCTCCTCCATGTCCCCTTTAGTCTAAAATACTGTAGCTTTATATCATACTTCTTTGATATACATACGTTTTCCGTTCGCTGGCACGGAAATGAAAAGTAGACCTTGA